ACAAAGACATCTTGAATTACCCGAAGATAAATACGTAAACGAAAGCTCAATCACTGACCGCCTACGGTTACTGGGTCAGGTACGTAAAAAATATGAGAGATCCGCTCTGCGAACTACACACCTGCAAACCTCGACTCGCTCGCGTCCCCTCTTCTCTCTCTCTCTGTAGAATGGTGTTTTGAGACACCAAGGTGCCCGAGCCAAGGCTCTACCCCTTGTAGAACAGTTTGATCATTTCGTAAGGTAGTATAAAATAACCGAAAAATAAATCGAGTAGGGTTTTTTTTGTTAAGGTCAGATAAGAATATTGTTAACGTATCAATGGAGTTGTTGTCCAAATTAGTGAGAGCAGAAAAGTCGAAAAGACTGGTGACTGTACAAGATGAGGTAGTGTAAAACATAGGCAAATTGAATCCATTAAGATTATCAAGTACAACATCAATATTAAGACATGAACTTGAAATAATATATTCATATATCTATAATATACACAAAGTGAGATGCAGACAGAAAATTTGAGGTGTAACAGATAAGAAGAATGAAATAAATAGAAAATAACACATATGTCAATTATTAGAGTTGCAGATTACATGATCCATACATTAGTTGGGCATAGGTGTTTCTTCCTCGTATAGAATGGCGCCGACATGGATGAGCAGTTTTTTAATACCTAATAAATACAACGACTCTGGTGTATTTAAATGAAATGAAGACATTTAATAATAACATTCCACGTAAACATTTAGTAATTTAATACAGATAAGTTAGATAAGAATTACAACCGTTACAGTCAGCTACGCTTTTAGCAACCGAATTCTACGAACGACAAATCTCAAAGCGTGTTGCAAAGCAGGGCAACGAAAAGGTAGAAATTATTCGAGCGTGCGTGAACATACTCCACCCATCAGGTTTTGTCCTGATACACGGCAAAGGTGAAAGTTTATTAATTGGTCTTTTGAAGACACCAGTTTTAATTTTGACTGTAGCTACGCGAACTAAGCCATCCTTGCCTGGATGGACATCGATGATCCGTCTATAGGCTAGAGGTGGAGATCCACCTGAAAGAACCCACCGTGTGATCTTTAGATTGGATCTGTGGCAGCACAAGAACTAAATCATCTAAATATTCCAAAATCTTTAGATGAAAAAATCGAACTTTCTTTCCGGAATCCAGCAAATAATTTAATTTCGATATTGTAGCCACTGGACGAAAACGGAGTGCGAGAAACTGTAGGCAAAATCGCCGAGTGTAATTTTGAATCGTATTACTGATAACTACCTGACCTTCAATCGCATGATGATCATTCGAAATTTTCTGGAGTGATTTCGTTTCATTTGGCCTGTTAAAAGCTGTACGTTGTTAGCTTTAATATCTTCATGCAACAAACTATTGCGTTTTTGAATTACACAATTACACTTTACTGGAATTACATTTTGATTAGATGTGAATTAAACATAAAAACAAATCTCGTTTTCGTTACAATTCTAAACATCCAAATTCTTAAATTTACGCATTTATATAACCATGAAGTCCTTTACATTTCGAACTTTAGTATTACAAATTTGACCTGTAAACGTTTTAGAACTACATTTATATTTTTATGAACAACGTTAGTTCGCTTCTTATTTATGATAATTTCGAGCGAAGAAACCTTAAATTTAAAAATTCACAAAATGATTCCAATGTAGGAAATCATCTTCCGCTGTTTCTGTGCCCTAAATTTCAGTTTCGAATCTTACCTTTTGAAGCAACATAAATATAACATGGATCCCTAAAGCTGCTCATCACCAAGAGCATTTAAACCTCTGATAACTTCATGAAGATCAGTAATTGACCGTAAATTAACATTATCAACCGTGAAAACATTTTTGATCCAGAAGTGTTTTAATTAACGATTTAAATTCTTCTTTTTATAGTACCTAGAGAGCAATTTTCCATTGCTCTTCATAAGAATTATTGATAACAGAATTTTTTAATATAGAAGCTGGTTTCATCAAGTGATCCGATAAATACTGAATTTCTGTATATTCGATAAAAGAAAATAATGCACTGTTGGAACAAACAAATCTTTAAAATTCATCCTGTCATTAAAGTTACCCAAAAAAAATAGGCATATTTCAACTTAGGAACTTAAAGTTACAATATTAGAATTCCTGAAACATTTGCACATAGCCACTTCAATAATCTAATAAATTTTGATACTGAGTTCAAACTAAATACTTCGATTCAAAATCTTCAATTCTGAATCCTCTCTGGTAATTGGGCATCAAATTTATTCAATCTAAATGAATCCTTTCCAAGCGCTCCAGATGCAAAATTACTTCATTTTACATAAATCGGAAGAATAGTATTCTGAAGCTTGTGAAGGCCGCTTTCCCTACCACGCAATCTAATGACAGTGCTTGATCCATAAAGTAGTCGAAGTATCAGTTCAAAATCAATACAAAATAGATATAAAACTCAAAATAAATTCAGAGTAAATCGAAATAAAAAGCACTATCTGTACTTGAACTGTGACGAATTCTCTATCTCGCCGCCGTGCCTCCAAAAATTTGCTTCGTTCCTCGTATTAGAGGCGCCGACATGGATGAGCGGTTTTCGATTTTAAATATCCTTAATAAATTCCTCGACTCTTGGTGTATTTAAATCAAACTGAAGACATTTAATAAAACATTAAAATTTAGTAAAAAATTCAGCAATACAGAAAGATTTAGAATAAGAATTACAACCGTTACAGGTCAGCTACGTTTTAGCGCCGAATCTACGAACGGACAAATCTCAAAAGCGTGTTACCAACGCAGGGCAACGAAAAGGTAGAAATTAATTCGATAGGTGTGGCAGTGAACAATAGGACTATCCATATTTTCCAAACTGTTATAGTCGTAATCACATATTTTAATACTGCGATTATGGACTGGATACTGGACAATTTGTCGTAGAACAGTATTCTGGCATACTTGCAATCTTTTCCTATGAGTTTTCTTAGTATTTGCCCAAACTGGACTTGCATAGCACAAAAGTGGACGTAGAATGGACTTGTAAATGAGTAACTTGTTGTCAATAGATAATATACTGTTTCGAGCAATTAAGGGGTATAGTTTGGCTTTACGAACTGAAAACTTCTGGATAATAGATGTAATGTGCGGGGACCATGTAAGTGACTTATTGAGGATCACCGCAAGATAAGGACTTGCTTGGCCCAGGGAATATCAGTGCCATAGATCTTCAGGTTTTTCTTGAAGTTAGTCTTCTTCGCAAACATAATAGCTGTTGTTTTTTCCACGTTCACGAGGATCTTCCACCTGGAGAGCCACGTCTCTAGCGTGTGTATGTAATTTTGTAATCGTTGTATAACTGGACCTGGAAATGTACTTTGTGGGAGGACCGCTGTGTTGTCTGCATACATAGCTAATGCTGTGTCGTGTGTGGATGGTATGTCGTTCACGTAAATATTAAAAAGTGTAGGTCCGAGCAAAGATCCTTGCGGGACGCCAGCCATGATATGGCTTGTGGAATTTGTGCCAGAGACGTGAACAACAAAGTGTCTACCTGTTAGGTAGGAATTAATAATGTTAATGATGTAGCCCGGGAAGCCCAGGATGTGTAATTTGTAAGTGAGGCCATACAGCCAAACTCGATCAAAAGCCTTGGCAATGTCGAGGAATAAACCACCAGTCACTTTCCGGTTAGCCATTCCCTCTGCAATAGTTTCTACCACTCCGGTAGAGTTGGTTGGTCGTGGAGAGGTGGAGAGATGTCGTCTGAACCCGAATTGATGCGGAATAATAACGTTGTTAGAGTCCAGAAATTCGTTGATTCTTTTGAGTATGATAGCTTCCCTCTTCTCAGGAAACCACCTTATATATCTCCCTGTGTTTACTTGCGCTGAACTACCGAAGGGGAAATGATTCTTTCACTCATACATAACAAAGTGTCCATCTCCTGACCCTGATGAAAAGACTTCTTTTACATCTTTGTCCACAGGAGTGACCCTCGAAGCTGCAATCGGAATCATTAACAAAGCACATGCTATTTCATCAACTGATGAAAATTATTGCACTCTGAAACTATTGCGCTACATAAACTATTGCAGTTTGAAATCAATCATCGTAGACAGTATTCATCGTAAAGTACCTTTATGCTACCTTATCATAATCTCTTCAAATTTAGTAATCATCTTTTTCAATCCCTGCTCGACATACGTCCCTTTCGTAAACCTCTCGAGCATCGATATTATGGTTGAGCATTGTTTGAACATTACTGCCGCTCTGATAAAACAAATTTTTCAATACAGCTTATTCTTCCCTAAACACATGGTGAGGAATGATTTTATGGCTTTGATTGCTGGCATTTTAAAACGCTCCACATTTCTTTACGTCCTTTTCACGCTGAAGAAAAAGCACAAACTCTCGCTCGAAATTTGGCTTGTTAAATTTTATCGCAGGTTTCCTTTTTTTATCGCAGGTATTCAGAAGGTCCTTGAAACGTATATACCTAGTATCAACGAAAGAGGTCTACCAAAATGTGCTCTTCGTGACTCTAAAAAGGGTAACTTTAATTATAGCCGCCCAGTACATTAAGTAAGAAACTATGTTGTAAAGCATATATCACTTTATATAATGGAAACCCAACGAGGCTCTTATGAACGTGTATTTTCTCAGGGTTTACAAAGCAATGTATCTGTTAAAAACAGAATTCGCAGTACTCTAGGAAAATTCAGATAGCATCAGTAAAAGGATAAAAATTAAGTTACAGATCATGGAGCTTTTGTTTGATAATCTGTAACTTGGCCTTGTAACAAAGGCCATGAGAAGCGTAAAAAATGAAACATGTTTAACCAGCATTTTCACCAAACTTCACAATTATTTAGTTAGTAGCGTACTAAAATTTCATATTTCATACAAATAAAATATTTTGGAAACTTTTATCTATATTAAATGTGAATGATTATATGCTAACATGATTCTTTTTTTTCGAATTCTGTGCATTTCTCTTTCAGAATGCAATTGCGGTGAGCATGGCATATGTAGCTTTGAAGGTGGTAGCAAGAAGTGCACGTGTAACGAAAAATATGCAGAAAAGAATGGAAAATGTGAAGGTAAGGTATAATTGTTTTTCTGTCAGTCCAAAACATTAATAAACTTTACCACGCCACATAATTTGTTGAATATTTGTAAAATGTATTTGAATATGAGTATAGAAAGTTTGTTACTTAAGCAAAAATATTCCTTTCCGAACTTTTAGACTGTGTTTATATATTATATTTTGTTTTGTGTTTGCTATTTTTGTGGTAAAGCAATACATTTTCTTAAAGGAGTTCTCTTTCTTGGGGGGGGGGTCGGAGCACGTTACTTTTAAATATTTTCGTTCATTTAAAACGGACCATCGTGAGAATAGGAAATATGGCCTCTCCAGAGTTTGGTAGAATTTACTGTAACTTTCAAAGTTTTTTATTCGAAATTTCCATGCCGCTGCGGAATTGAAATATGCGTGTTTCAGATATTTGTGAATTATATTTCGCGTAGCTGGTAAGTTATCTTTTAAAAATCATCTTCTTAAAAAATACTAAAACCTTTTTTCATGTTCTCAAATGGGATAAAAATTTTCTTATGTATTTATATATAAAATATCATTTTTAATGAGACTTAATTGAAGACATCCGTAAATTTGATCTAGATTGTAGAGTCATTAGGTTAATTGGAAGCAGACAAGATGAAAAATAAGCAACCGCCTCCGCCGGGAATCGAACCGCGGACCTCTGGAATAGCGGCCCTGTGTGCTATCGTTATACCACGAACGTATGCTAGGGAAGTGGGAGAAATACCTTATAAGATAACATAGACTTCCTCAATATATACTACATTGCATCTTTTTCTTACAATCGTCAGTAACCGAGTAACTCCCTTCAAATTCAGTTTACCTAATTTACGGATTGTACTTATATGTTGAAATTGTTTTACATTATGCTTTATTATATTGACAAAATTACATATAGTCTTCGAGAACATTAAAGTACTACACATAGTACTTTAATTCATAACATCGCTAGTGTTTTAATAACATTCTTTTGCTTTAATTATGCAGTATTTGAAGTATGTAGTTCTCTTGTTTTACAGACCCGTTAGCTGCATATTTTGTATGTACGTTTTATCTGTTTTATGAGATAAAATAAACAGTACTATTTATTTCAAATTAAGTTGTAAATTACAATACAACATTCAAAGAAAATAGGAGTCTGGTATCTGGCGTGCAGTAAATAGAAACATAATTTGATTACGAAGAATTGTGAAGAAACAGAAAGAGTTCTAATATGGCTTGTCTTAATTTGGTGACTGACCGTTGTCAGCAATTCAAGACTCTAGAAAGAAACTTCTGTTTTCAACTGCCTGTACCTACGTGTGGCATTGACCAAACCCGCACATCGTGCTAGTGGTGGAATTATACCTCTATTATCCGCCTCTTTTCTTATCCATTACTAAGAAGTATTCAGAATAACAAAGGAATAAACGAACTGAGCACTCCACTATTACGCATGTACGCTGCGCAAGAAAACAATATTGGCATGTCATGTCAGGAAAAGTCCGATTTTGTGTGAAAATACCTATATTAGAACAATATCATATACAAATCTAATATCTATATCGCTCTTTCGAGACATGAAAAACGCAATTTGAATTTCGTCAGTCGGTCCAGTAGAACGAGAGGTATAGAATAGTCCCCCCCTTTTTTTTTCTTCGCAGTTGCACGTATAATCAATCTTCTTGTACTATATACCAAATATTTTTACGCAAAACTGTAATAATATAACATTACGCAAGAAAATATTTTATATCCATGTAAAATATTAGACGTGAATTTTACGGCATAGAACGTAAATATATTGGGGATTTTGTACGTCGTTTCGCTTTTTTTTTTTTTTTTTTTTTTGTTTTTTTTGTCTTTTTGTTAGAGTCCTTTTTTTGAAGAAATTATAGGAATTAGAATTGAGCTTTTTTGAAATTTGAATTTTTGTTTTGTTGTTTGTTAACTGAAACATTTTTTGATAGCTTTTGACTGGCTCCACAATGTCGCAAGTACTCAACTTGACGCACATTAAAAATCGTTTATTAGTCAATAATTATTTTTAGCTAAGGATTCGAAAGAGATTGTATGGTTTTGATTTTTTAGAGCAAGCATAAATTAAACGTTAACTGAGGGTGAATTGGAACTATCAGAAATTACGTTTTTTGTGTTTTTTTGACGAATTCTTGATCAAAAAACGAGAAATACGTCTAATAACATGCCCTGATAATGTATGTTTGGAAGAGTTTCAAATTGTTACATCAATGATTTTTTATTCTTTTTAACGAATTTAACTGATTACGAATTTGTCTTTTAAATTTAGTTTTTATAGAACTTAAGCCCCAGGCTTTTGCACTAATATATATTTTATTATATGGAAATTTATGTTTTCCTCTGATAATTTTCTGTTGTAATTTCAAACTATATGAGAATTCCGAAAATGTCCAAACCTCGGCAAATGGGCTAACTGTATGAGTTCTTTCGCACATTTGTCTCATGAGTAACATATACAACAACAAATTTTCTCAGAATGCTATCTAGGACTGTTTTCCTTTTCTTAGCGAAAGACGTTTCTAATGCTTGACGTCATCAACAAAATTAAAAATGAAAACCCATTAAAATCACTGGAATATAAAACTATGAAGACATCATTTCTCGCATTTCACGGCTATTAGATGAATTAGAAGGAAATTATGAAATGCATGCTACAAAAATTCCTTTAAGTTGAAAAATATATTTTTCTTTGTTTCAAAGCAGAAAGCTAATTTTTTAAGAAGATACATAATTCTTAAATTTTTACGTTTACATATTCTGGGAAGAAATATTATTATACATACCTGCGATGTGAACATATAAATGAGTACAATGGAAACCAGTGACTTGCGAATCGCTATTTGTCCTCGGTGCCAAAACGTATAAATATCAGAGTTTCGATGAATAAACCAGTAACTGTTGTCATGTTTAAAAAACGGACATAAGCGAGATATAATTTTTGACGCTGGCATGACCAGATGTTTGATGTCAGCAACCTCAGTACTCCTCAGCATATCGCGCAGTTTTATGGAAGAGTACCAGAACTTGGAAAGCGGTTTGAATCATGCAAAATGTGATCACAAGCCAGAAAATGATGCTTGAAAACTCAGGTCTTAATCAATTGTATCGTAGCGTTACTCCCTTTTATTCTACTACTAATCAATAATTGCGTATGTCCAAAAACAGAACGTAAACTCAAGAAGTTTAATTATCCTTTATGCTCCAATAAAGTATAAGTTGGCCCCTTCTCAGGGCGTACACAAGCCTCCACTTGGGCTCAAACACAAAATGTAGAAATAAGAACTAACTAATGACTAATAAAAGAGATTTAGCCAAAGATAACCACATTCTAAGCTAGTGGCCCTAATATTAAATTAGCCAGCGAAGCTGTCAAAAGGCACGTAATACGGACGACGTAGAGACGTAGCCAAAAAGACGTTAGAAACACACAGCCAAAAGTGAAACGCGCTATTCAGAAAGCCTAACTTTCTCTCTGGAAGTCAGTGGACTTTTAAAAGTTAGCAAGCAATTTAGATGTCACCAAAAAGAAGAATAAAAAGTAGACATAAAATATTTCGATAATAATTTTAAAAAATGCGTACTTACGGATCCTATATATACAAAGTGAATACAAAGTCACGGAATCTGACATATTTTAAAACCTTTCAGATTAAAAATTTTATTGCAATGTAATTTAGCACTTCATTAAATAACATGCCTCAGAAGAAATTAATAAAATGTCTTATATACGAATATGATTATTTAATCTTATAGTGCAAAAATCATGAAATAAAGTAATAAATATTTTTTAAATCTAGTAATGTTTTTCTTTTGAGTAATCTAAACACAAATACTTCTAAGTGCTAAATATACATCACCTAAACAATCTCTTCTGCAGTTATACAAAGTCAATAAAATCATTCTAATAAAGTTATGTATAAAGAAGTTAAAAGTCAATCAAATCATTTTCAGTATCTAAAACTTACTTATGTTCTGTAAATTTAAAGACGTTTTTAAAATATAATAAATAACAAACTTAATACCTAAAAGCTTAAAAACAAACTTAAAATTTACATCAAGTCATGATCTTTCTTCTTTTGTAACTGTGAAAAAATTGAAAACAATGACTGTGAATTTAATGACTGTATACAAAGTTGCCAGCTGCGACCAACGCAATGGTTTGAGTTAATGTACGCCTGAAAGGTAGTGCATACAATTTCAGTATCAGTCAAATCAGTTCATCCTTTCAAAGCAACAACCAATTCGTAAATCATTTTTTGTTGCGAACCAGAAACAGAATCTTTCGACACTTCCAGGTTATTACGTATACTTCAAGAATTAAATTTAATGTATATAACCACATTTTTCAATATAATTAAAGAATTAAGTGGCAAACGTACGTGTCAATTATCCTACCTGAAAAACAAAGTGCCTACAGCGATATTATCAAAAATGCTGACAGGAACGAAGGATTTTCGGCATACAATGATTCACATGAATCGTTGTTTTCTTCGAGTCCGACCATGACCTTATGCAATATATTATATTTAATGTTGGTAATAATTTTGTTTTCGTATTTTGTAAAACTTCGAAATTTTCATTAAGATCTAACGATTTAAAAGCAAGCAGCGGCAACACTTTTCGAAAAAAGCTGATTTTTATTTCCAGCGGCGGCAGTGTTGCTACTCGGAAAATGACACAGAAAATTAACGTTTTCAGAGTTCTAATTAATATCTCGGTTGATTAAGTCGTACGAATATAGAATGTCCGAAAGGCTTCCACAATTTTTATATCCTGAGTTCCTCTCTCGAGGTCAACTCCTCGCCTTTCCAGTGGAGATAACAAACAAACAGATGGACAGATGCCAACATTTAACATTGTTTTTTAATCCCTAAATTCAGTGGATTTTTAAATCTAAAACTAGTTTTGAGATAAGATTTTTCAGTTTGTTTCTCTTTTAGACAAGTAGAACACTCCACATTATGAGTGCATTTACCAAGTTTAATGCCGTCTGTTAAATCATTTTTCTCAAGTGTTTTTATGGCATCTATATTTATGTGGCCTAATTTTTGATGCCATTTTAGTATGCAGTTCGTATTAAAACATGCAATATCATTAGCTAAGTATGCTTTATCGTCAATTGAGTTTACTGTCAATTTATATAAACCTTGTTGAGCGTTGCCGTCAGCTCGATATAGGTTACCTTTATGTACATTTATTACTATCAATGTACATGCAACCTTTTTCGTAACAGTTGAACAAAAGTAATTACTATCTACCTGTACATACAATACATTTCCAATTTTTTATTTTTTAACTGACGTCTTTAAGTTTTGAACTTAAAATAGCCTTCTCAATGCCAGAAAATTAATTTATCACCATTGGCTACAGTTCTATTGTTTATTAGAGTCTTTTACTGGCGAAAATTCTTATCACTAGTCATATGAGTTGAGGCTCCTGATCACACCCTTCTTGCGTTGCATGTTTCATTTTTATTTTCCACTCTAGAACTTGATTAAACTGAATCTGCGAATTTTCGTTTCAGTACTTTTAAGATACTTATTTTCTTTAAGTTTGTTATGTTTCTACACTTGCTATTTGCTATTTGGCCGCATTATTTTATAATTTTGGATAATTTCTTACTTTGCTGTTATTTACATCTATTTTCGGGAAGTTCTAGCGTTGCGTTTTAAATGAAACATCATTTATCGTATGGTTTGGCTCTTACAATAGTACAATATCGTGATTTATTTTCGCTTTTCACTTTTAAAGCACTGAATATTTTTGAACTTTTTATTCCACACGTACAATACTCATCTATTAGTTTATTTTTTACACAGTCTAGCGACAATTCAGCTTCGATGGACTTCTATTGCAGTTATTGAGGAGTTGTATGAATTCTATCAAGTTTTTTCTTTAATTTCTTCACTTATACTACGCAGCTTTTCACCATTCTAGTACCCTTTATTGTTCCTGCAGTTAAACTTTCATATAGCTATGAAATAGTTTTCTAAGAAGAAATAACTTGTTGTTAATTTACCTTCATGGACACATTTAACTTTCTGCCAACTTCTTTTGCAGATTTGCCCACCAGCGCGAGCGGTAAGACGCTAACACTGTATTTGGTCTGAGTTTCGAATCCCGCACGGGCTGGCTGCATGGGCGTTTTCGTGTTTTCCCTTGAACGTGAACGGCCAGTTTCCCTTAGAAGTCCTCCACGAAAGGCATCCCTCCTTTGGCAGATAGCCTCGTGTGCTTTGCCTAACTGAATATCCAATCCAAATGTTTTGCAATTACTATGCAAAACTGGATATTTGCGAATTCGAATGTAAGCATATTAACGCTTAGCTTTACATCATTCTTTAACAATATCGTTACAGTTTCGTTTTTCTTCGAATACAACATCTCTAAACCTCCTTTTATTAGAAGTTGTTCTATTTTAATTTTCCACGCTGAATAATTCTCATCTGTTAACTTTTCTATACAATTGTCGTTAAAATAGATATAATTATCGTTACAATTATTCTTTTAAATTTGTAACGAGTGTTTTCCAACAAAATTTTAACACTTGATGCCCTGGAATCTACAACAATACAAAATTTCATTTTAAAGCTTTCCACAATTCATTACCCTAATCTTCTCATAATCTTTTGTTAGGTTGTGCTTATCCTGAAGGCTAATGAGTAGTTTCCTCAAGCACATTTTTCATTAGAAATACAATCAAAAGTTAACTACGAAATCTTTTATTAATAAATAGGATAATTTTGCTTAACTTAAGCCTAACAAAAAGTAAATCTTCAACATTAAAACACTATTATCTAAAGGAGATAACTTAAATAGAATCATCAGTCCTAAGTATCAGACTTACCTATTTTAGGCAAAAAAAAAAAAAAGAACAGACATACGTTGACTCAGTCCTGAAGATAAGCAATAACTGATTTAGACCTTTGTCAGGTAAAAGCTAAGTGAGAAGGAATGCTTTGCATTGCCCACAACTTCTTCTTCTCGCCAATATATCTTGGCTCACGTTCGTTTCTATGCCTTTCGATTTCATTATGCAAAATACCTAATTTTGCTACATATTCGGCCAATTTTAAGCACAGTATTTTTAATTAAATGAATTAGAAGCTATGAAATATATCTTCTTCCCTATTTTCGTGTCTTGAAAATTATTGTATACTAAAACTGTTATATTACTATTCTTCCTATATTTTTATATTAGCACTGAAGAACTTTAGATTAGGACGCTTTTATATTGGAAATATTTTATATTATTATATTAATTGTATATTAGATCAATACATCAATTGCATTCGTTAGATAATGCGTTGCTTTATTCATATATTTAAAGCGGCTTACTACGAGTAAAAATTTCTTCACACTTATAGCTAAATGCTTATTGTCATTATGGTAATCTATCTCATTTTGCTACCGCATGCAAAACTCTGTACTATTCATTGTTGGCTTATTAATGCATTCATTTATTTTTAAATTGTAGAATGTAAATGTGGAGACAATGAAGAATGTTCCTTTGAAAGTGGAATTAAAACCTGCAATTGCAAAAAGAATTTTGAACGGGATGAAAATAAGAAATGTACACGTAAGTAAAATCGAAACATATGTGAATTTACATTTATATGTTCTAAAAGGGCTTTTAAATTTTATTATTTTGTTTTAAATTTATAAATTACAAAGCATATAGCTTTTAAAACAAAGCATATGACATTTTTAAGCAGCTAGGACTCTAATCTGAAGCATTCATCGCTTTCTCTTAATTACAACAT